CTTCACCAAAATGGCCATGCAGAGCTTGAAGGAGGCTTTCAGAGAGCTCCTGAGGGCTGGGGAGGGCAGAAATTAGCAAAAAATGGGTCATTTTTTCCTCAATTTTGCCCTCTCCCCAGCCCCCAGGAGCACTCTATAAGTTTCCTAATCCTCTTTTTTTACCCCAATACTCTCCTAAGTACCTTTTAGAAGCAAATCCATAACACTGTATAGCCCAAATGCATAAATAATTGTATCTATTTACTATCAGCTGGGAGCGAACTGCTTTGCTCCAACTTTGAAGTGGGCCTGCTCGCTCCTGCACAATACACACCTATATTTCCTTTTCCAAATCCCAGCTGATTGGCATAGCGCCTCAGCTGTTTCTCTCACTAGCAGTAATGCCATGAGTTTTCTATAAACTGCTCACACAAAGCGCGCACTCAGCTAACTGATTGTTAAACTGGTAGGATCCCACCCCTGCTTTGATCCATCTGTTATTGTAATTGATATGTAAAGAAAGATGTTTGGGAGAAAAGAAAATACAACTAATTCAGCTTTGGCCTAGGCCTCTTCTTTAGTAGTTGGAGCAAGCAATTCTGTCCATCATTGGCATTTTGTGTTGAACATCACAAAGTGTGCAGAGTTGATAGATATCAACTCTGATAGATGTATAGCAATAGCACTTAGACTTATATACTGCTTCATAGTGCTTTACAGCCCACTCTAAGCGGGATTATATGCAAAGATCCAACCATTATCAGTGCTCTAGTTTTCTATTTATGATTGTATTTCTAACTTTCTGTTGAACACATATTAAGGTGATATTATAGAAATGCTTGCAATTTGCGATGAGATAATCAAAAGATTTTATAGGTGGCTTTCATGAATATGGAGACATCTTCATATGAATAGTGAAAAACTGTTAAAAGTGATCAAAGAAGAGATTTTTGAACAACTGGAAGGTGAATGTGACAGTTCTCCAGACAGTTTCTTGCCTCATTCTCTTATTCTTTTTACCCATCCTTACTATTCCTATTTCTTTATCTACCTTTTGTCACAAGAATTGAATCTTGATTATTGTCACACAATGTGGATATTATGCATGTAAAGCATATTATTATTCAGTTATTATGTAAATCAGACACTCACAGCCTACCAAAATGAATAGAAATGTGTTACAGTAGGCGATGTGAGTCTCTATTCTTAATGGCATATCATCCTTCATTATGATTATAAGAGACGATTCCATGTCAAGTTAATGCTTCTTATACTTATTTTAGATTTGCTTATTTATTTCAGCATCAAAAAACTCCATTCCAAACAAAAATTTCACACTGGACTTACGTCAACTATTAATTTTAGCTCACCTATCTCATTAAGATGAGATCCCAGCTGCCTCAGTCTTTCTTGTATATATTTCTATCTTAGCATTAGAAAACTAGAGCCAGGCCTTTCAGAATTTTGAATTCTAGTGGCTTGGTTAAAAACAAATACAAAAAACAATTCTGCCCCAATGCCAAAGCTACCAATTGGATTGAAAAGATTAACATTTATAACGTATTCAATTGTGTGAGAAGATCTGAACTTAGGTTGCAACTGCTATGCCATGCTACTAAAATCTTGACAGCTGGCCATTTATGCAGGGTGAACTAAACATAATGGCCTGAACTTCTGAAGGAATGTGCCATATAAAAATATATGTGCTGTACAAATATTTACAGCTAGTAGCAGCAGTTTTGCATGAATGTCTTAGACGCCTGATTCCAAGGCTACCATGCTGAAAAAGGACAAAATACAAATGAATCCAAATGAATACCAACAGCTAATGTTATCGATTATAACTGCAAGAGTTTCATGGTATCATTGTATCATTAATGAATAGTAAACAAAAATCTTTACTATAATAACAGATTAGTACAAAGCATCGATTAACTTGGAAATAACACTAGTTAGACTGGTTACCAGGGCCACTATTTATGTTTGCATTAAAACTGAATAAGAATGATAATGATAGCAGTTTTAGGGTAAATGTCTATGGGGATTTTCAATCACCCATGTCATAGTTGTTCCAAAAGTGCTTTTTCAAAAAGCAACTGGACGTTCTTGTTTTTCCTTGAAGACATTTCACTTCTCACCTAAGAAGCTTCTTCGGAAATGTCTTCAAGGAAAAACAAGAAAGTCCAATTGCCTTTTGAAAAAGCACCTTTGGGATAGTTTTAGGGTAGTTTGTGAAAGATACAAAGTTTTGCACAACATTCATATCTAGCTGTGGGCACATAAGACATTAAACTGGAATAATTCTATTTGCATGCATGAAAATGACATTTTACTAGAATTCTTAAAACAGATACTTATATGATTTACTTTAATAGGATGTGTAGTAGGGGTAGGATTTCATTGAAAGGTCTTTGTTTAATTTTTGTACTGTTAAACCCTCTGAATATTTATGGTGATTTACAACCGAAACTAAAATAAGTTAATATATCATGAAACAAAATATGATAATGTATATCCATTGATGTCAAATTTTAAAACTTTTGTTAAGAACTCTATTTTGAACACATTCCTAAATATAGGGAAATGAGAATGTCATGAGGATGTCTTGGGAAGGCTGTTCGAGAAAATTGAAACCATTACTGACAAACAGAAGCTTATAGTTCTTTTTTCCAAATCTTCCCATGTAGTGAACTTTCAGGATCATCCCATGAGATGTGTAGACTGGTAGATTCCAGGGGTGAAATTCAGCAGGTTCTGAAAGGTTTTGGAGAACCAGTAGTGGACATTTTGAATAGTTTGGAGAACCGACAAATATCATCTCTGGCTGGCCCCAGATTGGGGTAGGAATGGGGATTTTGCAGTATCCTTCCCCTGCCACGCCCACCAAGCCACGTCCACATAATCGGTAGTAAAAAAAATGAATTTCACCATTGGTAGATTCTATTCAAAGCAATAATCCTAGAAGTACTATTGGGCTTTGTACATGAAAAGAAACACTTCGATTTTCACTTTGAATATGAGTCATGGTTCCTTAGTGGTTTGAATGCTGCCCACTGCCAGCAGTCTGGCAGTTCACATCTCACTGCCTCAAGGTTGACTCAGCCTTCCAACCTTCCAAGGTCAGTAAAATGAGGACCCATTGTTGGGGGCAATATGCTGACTCTGGAAATCACTTAGAAAGGGCTGCAAAGCACTGTGAAGCAGTATATACATCTAAGTGCTATTGCTATTGAATTACACATAGAAATTTATGGTAACTAATGGAAATCCTATATTACTAGTGTTATATGTGAAAAACAACTTTGTTCTGCTATTGCTTTTGAGTAGCCCTCAAAGGCAGCCCTAAGTAGAGCACATTGCAATGATTTATATAAGACATGACAAGGACATTAATTACTCTCATCGTTGTCTTTTTGTCAAGGCTGCAATTGGCCTACCAGAACAATCTGAAGAAAGGCACAATCAGCACAGCCTCCATAGAACAGTTTTCATGATTCTCAGAGAACTACTGTATCTAGAGTCGCCACATGAGCATACAGAAAACCAGTCCGTTTCCATATAAACAGCAGTTAAGTCTTGCTGGGATTCAATACCAACTTTTTAGTCACTTTCCAAATCTTGATAGTCTCCAGGACCTCGTCAGGATTTCCATCATAACATATCACCAGCATTCCTTGGATAGAAAGGTCTGTTTAGATATCATCAGTATGTTTATGATGAATAATTTTCCTTAGTAATTATTGTTGGTCAATTCAGTTGGCAGAATGGTACAATAATAAATTGAATGAGAATTGTATGGGGCTTTGAAGAATTGTACATTATACTATTAAAAATTAAATATACCCTTGAACTGAGTTTAATCCCTACTGACTGTAAGGATATTGCAACTTTTGGCAGAGAGGGTGTTTGCCACTGGATTTTTTTTTCCACTTCTCAGTCTGGTCGACAATCCTGAATTTCTGTGTTAAAAATTGATCAGATAACATTTTCAATTCAATGTTATAAATGCAAAAATTCCCAATAAAATGTTGTCTCTCAGATTGTTAGTCATATGCATTTACTTATTAAATTTGTATGCCACCCATTTTACTGTTAAAACAACATATAACACTAAGGAGACTCAGAACCAATTCCTATTACTTAGGGATTTTTGCAAATATGGTGCTGTCTCCTGCTTTCAGACATTTCAGGCTCTTTAATAAAATATGTACCAAAAAGTTGTGAATTTTGGCAGTGATTTTAAAATACGGCAGTTAGATTGTTAGTCGTAACATGCCAGCATGGTCATATTCTATGCCCGTTTTTTACCAATTGCAGTACCAACAATTCGATTCTGAGTTCAATATATTATCCATTTCAGTTAGTTGAAAAGCTGTGAAAAAAAGATATCTTAAACATTAATCTAATCTAGAATGCTTGTGCTCATCTAAGTCTATTCTACAGATCCCTCTACCAAATTAGATGAATTTTTAGGTCAAAAGAGAAAGGATACTTCAATAGAAATGCCATGTTTATGGAAGTCCTTTCCTACAAAGATTTGTCAGGCGTCCATTTTAAAGTCTTTTCAACAACTAACCAGAGAAAATCTTAATATTTTTCTAAGCATTTAATTAATACAGTCAGGGCTTTTATAACTTAACAGTGTTTAACTATGAAGATGTTATAAATGCTGTATGTATTATAACTGCAGTTGATGACTTATCCTGATTATTGTCCTTTGTCTTTATTAGGTTTAGCAGACAAGTTTTAGTTATTATGTGTTTAGAAGCAAAGTACATAAGCAACAAAGTTAGTCCCAAGACATTCATAGATTACTTATCCATACAGTTATCTATATGCTTGATTTCAAGACATTTCCTCATGAATTCTATTAAAATTAGAGAAGTAAATGCTACATTAAAACTATGATAATGTCATTTTTTTCAACATTTTTGATAACATATATCAAAGCAAGTTTAATCTTTTTTGTGCTATATAATCTTGATTCAAAAAAAGGTCCTCTCTTCTCTGTCCTCTTGTAGCTTGCCCAGCAGGGATGTTCAAAGCTCATCAAGGAATAGGAATCTGCTCACAATGTCCTCCCAACAGTCGCTCCACATCAGAAGCTGCTGCCATCTGCACTTGTCGCAACGGATACTACCGGTCTGACTTTGATCCGTCAGAGGTAGCTTGTACTAGTAAGTACTAGTATTTATTTCTGACAACAGGTTGGCGTCAAAACTAATTGGATCCATTCTTTGTAGATAGATCTGGAGAAACAACATTCAGGAATAACCATGTTTTGGAAATGATCTAGAAGGGCACTGAACTCCAGGTCACAACCTTCCTGTACTTACTACAGCATTTACTTCCTGCATTTTCCAAGTTTAGATTTAAAAGTCATATGAATTTTAAAGAGACAGTTCCTTAAAAAGCTCACAACTATATTTTTCTTTCAAACTTGCATGGAAGCCTAAAAAAATTCTGCATGATTTAATGAGTAGCAGAGATTTGCTCACATGATGTCCAAATCATTTTGAAGAAGATGTACACATAAAAGAAAAACTTGTTAAATTATTTTTAATAGACTGAAAAAATGTTAGTTAACCTTTAGCTTTCAGACTAGTACATAGCTGATTACAAATATAGGAAGTCTATTTAATAGGGGGGAAAATCATTCTTTAACATGTACCAACAAGAGAAAGGATATCATCAAAATTAGTATTTCCTAGCAGAACAGCAATAGTAGAAACATAGAGAAAAAGGAAAAAGGAAATGAAAACGTATCAACAACTATTATTACAAGATGTAGGAAAAAAGGATCATGATTTAGGAATGGATGATTGTTGTTGTTAGTCACGAAGTCGAAGTCGTGTCCGACCCATCACTATCCCATGAACAACAGTCCTTAAGGCCTTCCTGTCATCTACCATCCCCCAGAGCCCATTTAAGCTCATAGGGACTACTTCAGTAACTCGATCCAGCTACTCAGTGATGGGTTTCAATTTATTTTACTGCTGGTTTGCTCATGTGTGTGTCCAGGCGGATGGGTGAAGCCTCCTGCCACTGCCACTATCGGTTTGCCCGATCCGGGGCAAACTGGCAGAAACCCATCTGTGCAGCCACCTCATTGGATGAGATCCATCTCATTGGATGGGATGGATGATATTAACCATTAAATGTTAATGACAGGCAGAAATAAGTAAGTATAATAAAAGGATGAAAACTTTGAGTCTTCTAAATGACTGTTATCCAGATTATTGGCATGTATGTTATATTAGACACAAAATAAATCATTAATGGTTTTTCATAAGTAGGAGAAATTTTCTTTTCATGTGAATTTATCCTTTGTTTAAACAATAAAATACTATTTCTTCATAAGAGATGCATTAGCAGTTGTGATGTTTCAGTACTTAATCTATTGGTTTATCAAAGCTAGAAATTTAGGATCTCTGAAGTTTTAACTTGAATGTGTGCGCATTCAGAGTATGCCAAAGAAATGGAATTGTCTATAATATCTATGAAAGGAGCAGAAGACAATGGATTGACAATCCCATATTAGGGGAAAATAAATCCCTGAAAGCTTTCTTGATTTTTCAGCCTTACATCCAGTGTGATTTCTACTATTATCTGTTATTTAAATTTGTACTTCATTTGTAATTTAATCTTGTTTTGGACAAATTAATATTTTGTAATTCATGTGTGTGATTTATTATAACAAAATGTTGCAGAGACATTTTGAAAATTATTTTTCGCTGCTTGGAGACTGCTGCCCCCCCTCCCTGTATTTCCAAGGAAGAGGTGGATCTTTCCAACTTCCTTTGCAGCTTGCTTACATAGAAGTCTATATTAGTATACTACTTTCTGCATAATGCTTCTGTAGGTAATTGCATTGTAGTTATGAGTTGCCTAATGTGTGTTTGGAATAAGAGATTAATTTCCATATTCTGCTTGATCACTGGTAACAGGAAGTGTAGTAAATAAATCTGTTTTTATTGCCTCTTGTTATATAGCTGATTTACTAGAGAAGTACTGTATGTAAAAAAAAGTCAATTTGTTGTTTTTTATTTCTGCTCGTTAAGAACTAATTTTAAAATGTTTTAATTTGAGGTGCCAGATGTTCTGTTCCCAAAGTGTTATATGCCATAGGAGTAAATAAATTTAGTACTGTATGGTAGCTGTTGCTGCTGTTCACTTCCTTGACAGTGCATTTCCTGCTTTATGGAGCTTTTCACTAGTATGCTTTTAGAGTTCCCCATTTAGTGCTAGGGATGCAATTTTCATTAACTTCTATACATTTCACAAAACAGTAAAAAGCAGGATAGAAATCATTGTAAGACTAAGCTAGAGTGGATAGCCAATACATATTGCACTGAACCTTGTGAAACATGTTGTCTGTGCATGTGCATAACATTTGTGTAAAGGATTATTTTTTGTTGCCCCATCCCTTCCCATCTAATCCCCACTTTCAATAGAAGAGAGAAAGGTATTTTTTGGACAGCAAAATTTTGCATGTTGTAAAAAAAATGGAATAATGACACTAATGTCGTTCAGCAAAAGCAGAAACCGAAACCCAAGGAACATAAAATTTAAATCATTGCTATGTGTACGAAAAGGGCACCACGTTTTCCAGAGCCAATGAAAACAATATTGTGACTGGTTAGATGGACAGTCACAAAAGGTCTGTTGGTTATTCCATTTTTTTTACAACATGCAAAATTTTGCTGTCCAAAAAATACCTTTCTCTCTTCTATTGAAAGTGGGGATTAGATGGGAAGGGATGGGGCAACAAAAAATAATCCTTTACACAAATGTTATGCACATGCACAGACAACATGTTTCACAAGGTT